TGGTGGTCTAGCTTCAACTGACTCATGATTTCTATCTGTGAAAATTTCTACAAATCTCCACAAACCCCTTCTGATAATAATCATCTGCTCACTAGTGACTGACTTCAAGAGATACTCCTGGAGTTCTAGTGGGAAGCCGTTACCAGTGGAGTACAACCAGGTCTGTTGTGAGATATCAGCTCACTGAAGACAATGGTATATGGTGGCGCAACTTCGTGGATTAGTTGAAGTTAGACATTAACACCGTTGGATGCCGGCTCAGTGGTCTAATGGTTAAGTGCTCGCGCGCGAAGCCAGTAGGTCCTGGGTTCGAGCCCCGCGTGGTGCGGGATCGTGGATGCGCACTGCTGGGGAGTCCCATACTAGGACGAAACGGCCGTCCAGTGCTTCCAGGTTTTCAATGGTGGTCTAGCTTTAACTGACTCATGATTTCTATCTGTGAAAATTTCTACAAATCTCCACAAACCCCTTCTGATAATAATCATAACTATAAACATAGAGAATAAAGTTTCCATTTCATTATACAGGCTTTGTTTGCTGCTGAAAAAGTTTCCTAGCGTTTACATGTTTTTGAAGTTTTTTTTTAGGATTAAATATGATGCGTGTGGTTACTGCTCAAAGTAGGACGCTCTCTATGTTCTGCAATACAACCTGGTAGTGAAAGCTGCCGGATCCCACCAAGAATATTAACATTGATAATAGTGAACATAGCTTTGAAAATCCAAATTAAGTCATGAAATGAAAAGTATCAGATAACATTAAAGCCCATAATTTAAACGAAAATAACAAATAAATGTATCTGTTCACTGTCACCAACTTCGACCAATGTCATCTATGGTCGTCAATCATCAAATACGATTACCTTCTGGACTTCGATAAAAGTTTACATTTCCTGAAACAACACAGTCAAACAGCCAATATCATTAGAGATTGGTGTTATCTTTTTATTGAACGTGACACGACTAGCTATTTCCAAAATTCATCCTATACTATTCATTAAAGGCAGTAGCTGTGAATTCGTAAAATACACATTAAACACCTCGATCAATGAAGTTTCAGAGACTTATCACCGTGAATTTCATGTTTTTATGGTCAAACAGTAATATATTGAGGGTTTTCCTATTTTCCAATCTAGATCAATCAAATAGGATTAATAAATCACTTGATAAATAAGGATTAGATTGTTCAGTCTGACAAAATTCACTAATCGTTTGGTTTTGATAAGTGAATTCAAAAGACCTAATTAACTTGTAGAAAGAAATCAGAAAATACCTATTAATGATAATCCCAATCAAATAATTTTACACTTCCATTGATTATTTTGCTTAGGGATTGAATTAATTTTTGATTTTTTTTTTCTAAGAAAAGTGATGATCTAACGTTATTTGAAGAAGTTATTTATTTATTTGAACACATAGATAATGGTACAAGGGGGCCACACCCGGAACCTTCGATCTAAAGGTCTGATCCATAAGGCAGTGGAGCAACGTCAGGAGATGCAGTCCCATGGTAGCCAGTAACCAACAAGAGGTTCATACACTTTTTGTTTCCTCGGGATACTGGAGCCCATGTACATCACTGGTTTGGAATCAGGGTTTTCTAACTCCCCTAAGAGGACTCTCCGTGTCCACCAACCCGGTTAAAGTGCCGGAAATTCGCTTTTCGTCCTCTCAATTTCGTAAACAACACCCCCGCCACAAGAAGGCAGCGAGTAGGACTTCCCTGGCAGAGGCTATATAGGCGTGGCCGGGATCCAATGGTGATAGTGTTTAACATCAACCAATCCACGAAGTTGCGCGACCATATTCCATTGTACTGAGGTAGATACCTGTCTCTATCCGACACGGAATAACTCCACTGGTCACGGCTTCTCACGAAACGGCCGTGGATTGGTTGATGTTAGACACTATCACCATTAGATTCCGGCTCAGTGGTCCAGTAGGTTAAGCGTTCGCGAGCGAGCGGGATCGTGGATGCGCACTCTCAAAAATTGTTGGCTACCATCAAGATCAATACCATAAAAAAATTAAAATAAAAAGATGACACTACTTGCTAGTAGTTAGCAATAATACTAATAAATTTGGATTAATTGTAAATACAGAAAACATTGGTTCATTAAAATTTAATGAATAACATGACTATCAATGAAGTTAAGTATTTAAGGATGAGTTCCATGTAAATAAAGCAAGTAATCCATGAAGGTTAATTTTAATCACCTATGAACTAAGGTGCGAAATATCTACGGAACTCGGACAATGTCTACACTGCTACACGACATTAAAATCTTCCCATGTAATCACAACTTTCGTATTACAGTAAGCAGGAAAATAAAGAGACCAATATTTTACATGAAGTTGTAGAAACTATAAGCATATGTGGTCTGTTTGGCAGTCACGTAGAGATACTATCAATAGCTAACATAGGTTCATTTATTTTAAATGCACATCTATGTATCCAGTACAATGAGTCTTAGTTATTTTGCAGTCAAAGTCTCGCGACAACTTATTCTACTGATCAACTACTTGAGTAGTCAGGACGTTACTCGTAACCAAAAACTGAGCTAACTTATGTGGATCATGACCTTAGTGAAGTGGAACAACAAGAAATCCTATTAATTCTTTTCACTAGCTTCTTCAGGTGCAGCAAAAGCAAGACTTGACTGATTACTAGAATACATGCGATCATTACCCTTCTGTAAGTGATCACGTATATTAAATAGAGCACGATATCAAAATAGGGATGTTTTGCTACCCTTAAGTCCCGCTCAACCACAAAATTCATAATGTGAGATTCATCTGTACCATAACGTTAGTCATGAATGGCAGTTAGCAAAGATATGTACAATGAAACGACTACCCGCCTATTGTCTAAAGTGTACACAATTCAGTCCGATAAAATTTGCTGCAATAGTTTGGGAGAAGTACAACAATATTCCCCAGTGTTTATATCTTGATTTTCTTAAATCTATAGCTGTTGTCTACTATAGTGACAAAATTGTTTAGTTCCAAACATTTGATGGTTCGCCTTTTGTTACCTAATTCAACTAGTTTTCTACACACTAAATTATTATTATTTGGACCGATGTAACTATCTGGCTGATTTGGTGTATATTAGGCTTCACGTAAGCGATAATTTAAACTTTTCCCAAGAATTCTCCTCATATGGTGTCTCCACTAACCATAAGGTTTTACCTTTGACTGGTCTGCATACAAACTACACGGAAACGGAAACAATCAGCATATCAACTTATTGTCACATCAATTACAAGAAATACATCGACTGAATGTATTGTCCGTTCAAAACAGTAGTAGCCCTTCAAGTATAGAGTTACAGGGTCAAATTTTGTTTTATTTACTCTGACATAAGCAGTTCATTGGCTTAAACACTTAAATTGTGACGAGTGGACAAAGTCACTTTATTACTGGGTTGGAACAACTCGACTGGAGAGAAGGGGCATCATAGTTATGTGTAGATTTGAGTATTAACAAAACTTAAACGAACTAGCGACATATGATAGTAGTATAAACCTATATATAATTTGGAATCCCCGTCAACCAATAGAAGTGATCAGCATACTAGACGAGTGAGCTATAAAATCGGAGTGATTTGAAAACATACTGCTAGATAACGGATTTCACAGGGATGATCAGACGAAAACTCAATCAACCAGTTTCGAAGAAACTAGTGTACAGAAACTAAAGAACCTTGTTTGGAAACGACATAGTTCAAAAGATTTTCTAAATGGTGCGTTGTTTGACTACCGATAAACAGCATGAACTTCAGTATGGAGAGCATCATTAGACTAAATCTTGAAATAAGCATTATATTTTCAAGTGTAAACACATGCTTAGTTATATAAGCTTGTTTAGAGAGCGGTTGAATCATTCATAGACAAAGATCGGCAAGACATCTTCACTTTGAAAGACAAACTATAGGTGGATCTAAATCGCCAGAATAGATTAAAAGCCTATGATTTTTATAAAACAAATAAAGTTTATTGGTATGTATAATGTGGTATGATACATATTTTTGGAGGAAGTGTTAAAGAAAATATATAAACACTAAGACTTAGGAGAAATGTCATTTCAAACTGGCATACTTCACATAATTATTAGGAAGTTAACGAGATAGAAAGCAAAACGGAAAATAATGGTATCAACGGTTTCAGAAAACTTATAGAGGAAGTCAGGAGAAACTACTGAAATGAACAATTAGGGATAATCCTGTGTATATTACTAAAAGGAAGACGAAAGTGAATACATGAAGATCACTGTTACCTATTTTGAGGCATATTACTTTACGCTTATAAATAATCGATTACGATTACGTTGCATACCCAAACCAAGTCTTCAAGCATTGGAATAATGATCGCACATTACGAGCAATATATTGGTTCAACTGCCATTAACCTTTTTCCAACCCACTCCCACCCTAGTTAGCTTAAAACACTTAGGTAGTAGATAGGACAAATGAGAAAGAATCGTAAGAAGTCAGAATAAAAATAAAAGATAGCTAAGTGATATGTTTGGTGGAATGAAAGTAATCAATGAAAATCAGCAAAGGAATAAAATACTAGTTAATTACATACATTCCCTTTTCTACTTGATCACATATGGTTTTTATTTGATTAGCAAAGAATTCGTAATTAAAAGGTTGGTTCCGAGCATAAAAAGGATTTTTCAACACAAAATCTGTATAAGCCTCGTACACCCTGCGGAGAGCCTCGCGAGAAGCCACTGGTAATTTAACATCAGTAACAAGTAAAAATTTAACACCTGTATGGGTTTCCAAACAATGAACACGGCAGCATTCCGTTTCCAAAGTTTGGATACCAGAATTCCAAACTCGTGGAGCCTTTTTATCATTAGCCGGAGCGACAAAGCTGGAGTTGGAATCCGGAATTGGGGAAAGAAGTCGGGCCATTGAGTGTAATGGGTGGAACATACTAGCAAGGTGAATTCGGTCATTTGGACGTAGTCGAGGTCTCCCAAGTTTGATAGTCAGTGGAAAGTTGTCTTTATCTGAAAAAACCTCCAAACAGAAAAGCATGGATTATCAGCTTCTCAAACGGTAAACCTCAGTATAAAAAAGTGGTTACCAGAAATTATACCTGGCAGTATGCTTGAAGGTATATATTATCACCAGACAAAATTAATACCTAGCTACAAGTTCCCATTGAATTATTAGTACCATAAACATTGGAAAGACCATGTTTTTGGATCTTGATTTACAACCGATTAACAACGTACTATCTATATATTTATTAGATACATCAATAACAAATTTGACTTGTATCTTAAGTTAGTATGAACGAAATGATTGTTTTAAGTTGAAGAACTGCGGAGGATCCACTTAAGGGAGTTGGAAAACTCTGATTCCAAACTAATGGTACACGTGGGGTCCAGGATCTTGAGAGGACAAAACGGCATATGACCTTATTGTTGACCACCGACTACCATGGGACTGCATCTCCTAAAGTTGACCCACTGTCTTGTGAATTAGACATTTAGGTCAAAGGCTCCGAGTATCATCCCCCAAGAAAGCCAACTGCTTCGGTTTGGGCACCCGGGCAGTATCCCAGCCCCCACATGACTTGAATGATTTGTGAGGTACATATATATTTAGTGCCGTCTAGTGTAGATGTTTACATGTTTAAATAAATAAACAAATAAATAATAAATTAAGTCATTAATTGGACACAGAGTAGTGAACTGAGATAGTGGTTGAAAGCTTTGCCACTTTTTGACGGGTAGGTTATACATCCAAAGATAATTAATTGTACTCTCTGGAGGTTCGGGAAGCGGGAAGTGCATGGAAATATAATGGTGGGCAGTATAGAAATAGGGAAAATTAGAGAATGTACACTCTCTGATCGTTTCATGGTACGCTTCAGTCAAGAGCGTCTTGAAATTCTTGAATCGATTGGGCACTAAATATGGCAAGGAAACAAATCAATTTGAGTCCATAACTGAAACCAGTGCCTAGTGGAGAACCGCAAGGTTCTGTCCTAGGTCATTTACTCTTTGAACTGTATGTAAATGAACTCCCAAGTATAATTGAGTCTCCGATGCTACTATATGCTGAGGCGAAAATCTGGTGGGAAATAATAGGAGAAACAGATGCATGCGCGCTTTAGGCAGACCTAGATATTTTGATTAGCTGGTCAAAAAATAGCTGATGCCTATCAACGCGGCCAAGCGTGTCTACATGCACTTTGAGGATAAAAAAAGGTAGGTACTGTATAGTCGTACCCGTGGTCTGATCTCACAAGGATCATGGGGTGACTGAATCATGATCTTAAGACCACGGCCCACTGTCGGGAGATTGCAGCTAAGAGGCTTAGAACCCTATGGACTTTCAGACGAACATTCACAAAGTTAGATACTACTATGTTCACTACAGTATACACAACCTTAGCGAGAATTAAACTTGAAAACTGAGTTCAGGCTGCAAGCCCCTGTTTTGGTGACTCGAACATCCTGGAAGATGTACAGAGGGCAGCTACTAGTGCAACTCCAGAACTTTGGAGTTTACCACAGAAAGAGTGGCCTGAAAAGCTAGACCTCTTTACTTTATCCTACCGTAGATTGAGGTGATCCGATTTTGATGTACAGAACACTAATAAATGATTGTGGACCTAATATACACTCTATTTTTTTCCTGCCGGATCGGGACAACTCAGATGACGTAGCAGGCGAGTAGAACAGCCAAAAACGAACGAAATACTCGTGGTATACAGGTTATGACACCGAGTCACCGATTCTTGGAACATGAGGCAGTGGTGTCCGCACCTTCTAATGACTTATTCAAGAGAAGGCTGGACACTCACAAAATCATACTAAAAAAAGAATAACCTAGGCCGTAGGACTTCTGTTCTTACTACACAAACCTGAAATCTGGAACAAAAGGTGAAACAGTATAAGCTTTTGGTGCATTTAAAAGTTTTCGGCATTACTCACGATTTGCGTTATGAGACCTATATCAGATTTAGTGCGTCAACAGTAGGTATAGTGAAGTGGGCATACAAATAAAACTAGTATCTTCAGATGTAGGACATCTACTTCTAAGGATCAGTAGTGATTACTTGCTTTCAGTTTGTATAATCAAAAACTACTTGAACTTTACGTTTAAATTGCCTTAAAAAATCACATGAGTGATTACACTGTGCTAGCTTTAGTCGACTCGAAATAATTGTGAAGTGAACATATTGCACAAAACAAATGAATGCCAAGATTACCTACTTCAAAATATCCCTGTTATCTTCCAGAGATGTGCCTTTAGCTGTAATGCCGTCAACAGATATCACAGTATACCCTATCTTTACATCGTCACATGCACCAAAATCCACGACAATACGACCATCCATAGCTTTGAAATGGAACGAGAGTGGGAAATCGTATTTCTTTTCTACTTCCACGTTAACATCAGAATGATCATAATAAAACTGTAGTGAACCAGATTCACTTATCACATAAATGCCATATACACTCATTTTTGTGCTAAGCTTGATTCAGACTTAGAAAATTAAGGATGACAAGGGAGGAAGCATGTACACATATACACCAGATTCGTGATATGAATTTCAATTTTATTTATGATCAAATACAAGGCTTGAAGACAGGTCAGTTTTTCCAGACGAATTTGCCTCGTGTTATCTGAAAGGGATTTAACGTGCTAGGTCTCCGAGACCACCATAAAAAAGACGAGTTATTGATGCTAGACTTCCGAAATAACCTTGAATTTAAATCGTCGACGGTAATTTCTTTAAGATCACGCTTGGTCGTAATGATACAGAATACTGGATTGTAATAGTGCTTCGTATCCTAGATATGTATTATTACTTACTTACTTACTCCTGTTACTCCTAATGGAACATAGGCCGCCGACCAGTATTCTCCAACCCACTCTGTCCTCCACCTTCTTTTCTAGTTCCATCCAATTCTTGTTCATTTTTCTCATGTCTATTTCCAGTTCCCGGCGTAATGTGTTCTTTGGTCTTCCTCTTCTCCTTTAGCCTTGAGGATTCCATGTGAGGGCTTGTCTTGTGACTCAGTTGGGTGCTTTCATCAATGTGTGTCCTATCCACTTCCAGCGCTTCTTCCTTTTTTTTTTTTCCCCTGAAATCCGGTTTGTTCTCTCCCATAGTAGGTTGTTGCTAATAGTGTCCGGCCAACGGATCTGAAGTATTTTGCGTAGACAACTGTTAATAAGCACCTGTATTTTCTGGATGATGGCTTTCGTAGTTCTCCAGGTTTCTGCCCCATACAATAGATCTGTCTTGACATTCGTATTGAAAATCCTGACCTTGGTGTTGGTTGACAGTTGCTTTGGGTTCCTGATGTTCTTCAGTCGTAAATATGCTACTCTCGCTTTGCCGATCCGCACCTTCACATCTGCATCAGATCCACCCTGTTTTTTTTTTTTTTTTTTTTTCATCAATGATAAATAAACATCTTCCAAATCGTCTCTGTCAATTGTGATTGGATTGGTGCATGCTGTGTTGTATGGGAGAATCTTGCTTTTCCCTTTGTGTATATTGAGACCTACTGCTGCTGAGGCTGCTGCCACACTGTTCTTCTTCTCCTGCATCTGTTGTTGCGTTTGGGATAGAAGAACCAGATCATCTGCGAAGTCTAGATCGTCCAACTGCATCTTAGATGTCCATTGTATCCCGTGCTTCCCTTCAGACGTTGACGTCTTCATGATCCAGTCGATCACCAGGAGAAGGAGAAAGGTGTGAGTGTAAGCAACCTTGCCTAACACCGGTCTTCACTTCGAACGACTTTGTCAACTGTCCTCCATGCACAATTTTGCAGTGTAATCCATCATATGAGTTCTGTATGATATTGACTATCTTCTGGGGCACGCCGTAGTGTCGAAGAAGTTTCCATAGTGTTGTTCTGTCCACTCTATCAAATGCCTTTTCGTAGTCAATGAAGTTGATGTAAAGTGATGAATTCCATTCAATTGACTGTTCCACAATGATCCGTGGAGTTGCGATTTGGTCTGTACACGATCTATCCTTACGGAATCCTGCTTGTTGGTCACGAAATTGTGTGTCTACGCAGTTCTTCATGCTGTTTAACAATACCCTGTTGAAGACTTTTCCCGGTATTGAGAGAAGAGTGATGCCCCTGTAGTTATCACACTTGCTGAGATCGCCTTTCTTTGGTATTTTGATCAGAAGTCCTTCTTTCCAGTTTGTTGGTACTTGTTCCTCATCCCAAATCTTGCTGAAGAGAATGTGGAGTATCCTTGTAGTTGCTGCTACGTCTGCTTTTAGTGCCTCTGCTGGAATGTTGTCTGGTCCTGCTGCTTTGCCACTCTTGATTTGTCTGATGGCCATGCTTATCTCTTCAATTGTTGGTGGCCAACATCGATTGGGAGGTCCGTGGGTGCTGCTTCGATGTTGGGTGGGTTCAGTGGGGCTGGTCGATTCAAGAGTTCTTTGAAGTGTTCTACCCACCTGTTTTGTTGCCCTTCAATGTTGATGATTACCTCACCTTCCTTGCTTTTCACTGGTCGTTCTGGTTTGCGGCGATTTCCAGAGAGTTTCTTTGTTATGTCATACAGTTCTCTCATGTTTCCTTCTCTTGCAGCCTTTTCCGCCGTCGTTGCTAAATCTTCCACATATTTACGTTTGTCGGTTCTGATGCTCCTCTTCACTTGTTTGTTTACTTCTGTGTATTCAGCTTGTGCCTTGGCTTTTTCTGCTCTTGTTCGACTGGTATTGATTGCTGCCTTCTTGTTCCTCCTTTATTGAATCTTATCCAGTGTATCAACAGTGATCCATTCCTTGTGATGCTGCTTCTTGTGGCCCAGGACCTCATGACATGTTGAAGTGATTGCTTCTTTGATCCCCTTCCAGTTGCTCTCCACAGTAGTTCCTTCTCCATTGAGTAGATCATGAAAGGCATGGAACTGATTGCTGAGGACTATCTTGAATTTGTTGAGTTTGTCAGTATCCTGAAGAAAGGCCGTATTGAACTTCTGTGATGTTGTCCGCCCGTTGTGCAGTGCTTCTTGAGTTTCAATTTCATCTTGGCGATCAGCAAGTTATGGTCTGATGTTTTATCAGCTCCTCTCTTGGTTCTCACGTCTTCCATCGTCCTCCTGAACTTTTTGTTGACGCAGATATGGTCAATTTGGTTTCTTGTAGTGTGATTCGGCGAAGTCTATGTGGTTTTGTGTATGCGTTTGTGTGGGGATATGGTGCCGCCTATGACCAGTTTATTGAAGGCACATAGGTTTGCAAATCTCTCACCACTTTCGTTCCTTCCTCCAAGTCAGTGTCGTCCCATGGTGTCTTCATATCCAGTGTTGTTCGTTCCAACCTTGGCATTTAAATCTCCCATCAGAATGGTCAGGTCCTTTGTTGGGCACTTCTCTATGATTGACTGCAGCCTATTGTAGAATAGATCTTTAACGTCTTCTTTGTAGTGTTGGTAGGCACATAACATTGGATGATGTTCATTGAAATGCCCTCTTTCTTGGTTTTGAAGGAGGCTTTGATGATCCTTGGTCCATGAGATTCCCATCCTATAAGTGCATTCTGTGTTTGTTTGGACAGCATCAATGCAACTCCTTGTGTATGTGGGGCATTTTCTTCTTCATGGACGGAGTATAACAGAAGCTCTCCTGAAGTTAGTCGTTATTGTCCAACTTGCGTCCAATGTGTTTCACTGATCCCAAGCACCTCTAGGTTGTATCTTCTCATTTCTGAAGCAACCTGGAAGGCTCTCCCGGTGTCCCACATTGCTCGGACGTTCCATGTACCTATAAAAATTGTTGCTCTGGTTGTTGGAAGGGGCCTCGGCCTCGTAACTTCCGAAGGAATTCGGCTTTCATCATGAGGCGTCAAAGTTCTTCTAAATGAAGACCTTCTGATTCCCAGGGCAAAGTTTAAAAAGTTTGAATAATTTTTTCTGGCTAGCGTTTTTTAGCGAGTTAGTTTTCTACGGGAGTGGGGACGCTAACCCCATGCCCAACCCTCCTCCTTTATCCGGGCTTGGGACCGGCAGGAGCTCCCGGAGGGACTCCAGGAGGAGTTATTAATAGAGGAAAATGGATCTTTTTCAGAGGTTTTGTTTCTTCAGTGATGCCGAGGTTTGTGACTACTCCTAATCTCCTAAGTTTGGGGAATTTTCGGGGCAAATGACCTTCAACGGGGTTCAAGGGGAATTTTGGGGAAATATCGGAGAATTTCCCCGGGTCTAGGGGAACGCGGTTGGTTTAATGGAAACAATTATTATTATAACCAATTGTACCAGTGATTGTTTTACTGTACTTGTTTGTTTAACTGTACTAAAGACATCCATTATTCTTCCATTCTTCCTTCCGTTGATTGTGACCTTGCACGAACTTACGTTTGCTCATTGAATCCGCTTGAACTCCTCTGGCACGATCTCAGTATTCTTTCGATACCACGAGATCACCAGCAAACATACTTTGCTACAATCTCCGATTGCCTTCTGATATCTGGTGCGTAACCTTCTAGTAGTGTTGATCATAGTCAACCGCGACTCGTCGCCACACTACAGTGTCAAACTCCAAGTACTTGTGGTATATTTAGGTCAATATAAATAAACAGCAATAGTTAAGTGAATAATACCCAGGTTTCATTGTTGGTGTTCAAATATGCACTATTTACATCATTCTTTTTTAAGTTTTGTTGGTAACAGATTAGGATTGAAGAGCATAATTTTGTTGTAATGTCCTTTGAGGCCACTTCTCAATGCCTGAGACCAGTGGACTGAATCATTTATCATTTCCCCGGCTAGATTTATATTTCTCTTCACTCCATTGGTGTCAATCATGAAGAAAGAGTATTTGATAATCGAGTGAACTCTGATTACAATAGTTGTACCAGAAGGGACTTTGATGTAGCATTCATCACATAACTAATGTTGCCATTTTTGCATGTTATGTTCAGCTTTGTTTCAAGTGTTATTTTTCCACCATTTTCTTACTGGCTATTTCAGTAAATGGAGTTAGAATTTAAATTTATATGTTATTATTTGCGTTGCATATCATGATACTTGATTAGGTTCTCCTGTAGTGACTTACTTTTATCACGAGAACACGATTGATCTAATGAAAACAATTATTATTATAACCAATTGTACCAGTGACTGCTCTTCGTTTAAATGTGATAAAAACATCCATTATACTTACTTCAGTTGTGACCTTGCGCGAATCCGGTTACGCTCAGTAACCAAGCTTGTATCCTGGCACGATCTCGGTATTCTTTCGATACCACGAGATCTCCAGAAAATATATCTCGACTTGGTCCATTAACTGCCTTCTGACATTTGGCTTCCGGGGGATTTTATGAATGTCCTGGCACGCGTTCCTTTGTAGTGGTGTTCATAGTCAATTTCGACTCGACAGTACACTACACTCCTACGAGTCCACTACATGATAGAAGCTATACTAAATTTTGGGAGATTTGTTGTTTAGTACAGTTAACGTCTCACTCCGTTACTAGTTAAA